TATCATATGAATAGTGCAAAATATTAAATTATTACACTTGATTATATAATAAAATGAAAAATATTAAACAAATAGAATTCAAAAATCGTGCAAATGACCTTGTTTGAAATAAAGTATATTTCTATATATATTGTATTTAATATCAGAAATTTTAATATTAAATAAGTCGCCCATAAATAGTGCGAAATATTATCATACTTGGCATTAAAAAATATCAAACAGTATTGAAACAAATAGAATTCTAGAGTCAGATGATCACATTTTTGAAATAAAATACATTTCTATATATATAAATATAAATCACGGAAATGAAGAACGCGACAATGTATCAGTCACGCGATGAGCAAACGAGACTCATCGATTATGCATCTTCGCCAAGTCGTAATTCACGATAACAATTCGCTCTTTGGCAGGTGACACCATTCAGCGTGGCACGGCGCATTGATAAATAAAAGATAAAAACAAAGGACGCGTCATCTGATGTAAACAATTTCACGTTTTCCTTTACGTTAGATCTGTACCGAATCCAAGCAGACACATGAGCGCCAGACCCAGAAATCTGTAGGGCGCTTTTTTTGGACTACAGCATCCCTGAAGGGCCGCTTCATCCTCGGATCGGTCCAAATTGTCGCTGCCTGAGTTATCCACCATGCTTCCTTCCATATCGTTATTATTGTTACCACAATATGCCTTTAATTGTTATTGTTCAAGATGTATATCGTACTTTATCGTCTGGACAACACGCACTGTGATCACTCCGCAAGTAATAGAGTCTAAATAAAGATAAATTTGCGTCGCGTCCTTTCCCCTTTTACATTATCACGCACATAATCCAGTGAATAAAAGGAACCCGATGATCGGCCACGATCGATGAAACGACGCCGATCGACTACTCTCACTGCATCGCGCGATTGCTGCCGAGTGCTGTCATTGTTGATCGGTTAATCTGTCAGTCAGTTGGTGCGTCGGATGCGTCATTTAACGAGATACACACATCGATATAGGCCGCTAAACTCTATCACACGTGGCAAAATATCCCTATTTGGTATATCAATCGAAGTACCAATCGGGACGAAGCAAATAACTAAAATTCACTTATTCGTAACTGAATTTTTTTATACTTCCGTATTTTATTTTCCGGAAGTTTAAAAATATTTTTTATTTTTAACGTTTTCTATTTTGAATATTTTTTTATTTTACAGAAAAAAAATTGTTTAACTGATCTTTTCTACATTAAAGATATAATGTGGTATATAATGTGGTGTATAGTTCCTGCAAACAGTGAAAACAATGAACTGGAAATATATATATATATGTATGTATGTATATATGCATAATAGTTCAATGAGATCACAATATTTATATTAACAATACAATTTTACAGTTTAAATATATTATCATTTTATTTTAATTATTTTTTAAAAACATGTCCACTGCTTATTAAAATAATTTTTTATTTAGATTCCAAGTCGTCGATTTTAAATCACACTCTTTATATTACTTTCTAATACAATAAATGTAGAAAAAATTGTAATTTTTCCTAATTTTTTCACACATTTAAAAATAATACGTAAATAGTTAAAAAATAATACGTCCTTAAAAGATTATCTCAGTTATAAACTATACTTCTAAATAAATAAAATTTATATTTAATGAACAAAGAGAAGGATGCCGAATAACACCAAACTAAATTTTCATGCATTTATTGGAAAAAGGTAACTTATGAGTTTATATTTATGAGACTGATGCTTAAAACTAGTTAAAATTCAAATGTTCAATGAACAAATTATGATCAAAAATGAACATGATATCACCAGATTTTCCGTCATTTATTTTATTTATGAACAAATGAATTAGTTTAACCAGTGACTTCTTCAGTAGCGCCTTCTTCAAATTCGAGCTTAACTTGACATTCTTCGGGAAGTCCCTCAACGTCTACTTCCGTTTCAGGTGCATTCAGCATGTTTAGTGTGACTTCTGCCGATTTTCCCATGAGACCCTGATTTCCCGATGTCGATTGCTGTTTCACAACCTGTTGTTGCTGAACTAATGTGGATTGTTGTGCCTGTTGAGGTAGAATCTGTTGCTGCCTGACCGTCATTCCCGCTTCTTCAAATGTCTTCTTCTTCAAGGTTGTTCGAATTTGAGAGCTGGAAAAGAAAACAATACGTTCTGTGTGAGATTCGGACTGACTGCCATGATGGCAGCGTGTGAAAACTTACACCGTCCGACTCTTGATGTGCTCGCTTATTCTGCTCAATTCTTCACTGAAGGCTCTGACCGACTGACGGAGCATCTCAATATCCTCGTCAGCCCATTTACTACACATCGAGGGGTATAGGAAATTATGAAAAGAACATGGGACCTACTATAATTGTATATGAAATAATACTCCAGTAGCACTGCAAACTTAAGAAACAAGAAAAGCTATTTTGTGATGATAATAATTAAAAAATATTTTATGCAAATCTTTTTACTTGGAGACCTGATTGTCATAAATCATCACAAGCTATCTTGTTCTTCATAAAATGTTGAGCTTTTGAGTTCTTTTCATTTTTTCAAATAAAATGAATGCGATATACTACCAGAGAATCATCCTATATAAATATTTCCATGATATTTGTGCCAGAATTCTAAATCTTTTATATAGCTTTGTCAGAATTACTTGACTTTCGAAACATCAACTAAATATTTACCTCCAAACAATTACCTCCAAATATCTTATAAGTTATAACAATATTTATGTCTAACTTACCCTGCAAGAGAATCTGATGTAGGATGGAGCTGCATTGTCAGTTCACCTAACTTGTTGAAGGCTACTCCAGCTGCAGCGAAGATCTCACCCACCTAAACATGAATAATATTTTTAATCTAAACAGTTATATGTATTCATTAATAATAGTTATAATAAATTAAAATTTTGTAACTGTTAATTTAACCTAAAAACACACAATAACACTTTCTTTCGATATCCGGTCTATCATTGTATAAGAATTGTGAAACAATAAATAGTAAAATATAATAATAACTGTCTGAAATTATCAAGTTTTATACTTACCTTGCTCGCAGAATTCATATTAGGAATATCGTTATTGTTATTGTTATTCTCGAGTATGACCGTAACGTTTCAAGAATTACGATAGAAGCGACGATATTCGTATATTGTTGATACTATTTCGAATTTTGATTTAAATTTCTATCGGTGTAGATCATAAGTAATATCGATAAGTTACTTATCGTCGATAAGTACATAGTAATTTCATCAACTGATGATAATTACCGCGACTGTTTTTCTTTAAAATAATAATAATAATGATAATAATAATAATATCAATAAAAATTTACATTTTCAAAAATCGAGTAAATATATAGAAAGAATATAAAAATAAAACTTAAAAAATTACATTAATTAGGGTCTCTTTCACCAAACTAACATGGTTAACTTTTAATCGAGATAAATATTATATAATTTATTTTAAGTTAAACCTCGATTAAAAATTAACCATAAATTGTGAAACTGGACCTAATAAATGTGCCCCATGTAACCGTCGGTTAGTTTAACCGAGGTTGGTGAAAAAGACTCTTAGAATTAAAAAATTATACATAATTTAACTCTTTGGCCCGATTTCACAATATTTTTACAATATATGGTTACCTAAAGATTAAAGGTTCAAAGAAATTCATGAATGAATTTCATTGATGAATCTGTTGGTAATCTTTAATCTTTAAGTAACCATATATTGTAAAAATGGCCCTTTGGCTTGTTTCTACCAATGTAGATTAATTACTGTAATCTCAACTTACTCTTTATCTTTTTCTAATTCTCAGAACTGAAAAAAGATGAAGAGTTAGTTAAACGGAGATTAAAATTAAACTATATGGTAGAATTAAACGGGCCTTTCGAATTTCAAAGGCATAGGCTACATTCAGCAGACTCAACAGTTTCCCAGTTTCACAACTCACGGTTCACTCTTAACCGAGATTCAACTTATTCATTGTCTCTTTCCAATCCTAGAATTGGAAAGAAATGAGAAACAAATTGAATCTCGATTAAGAGTTAACCGTAGATTTATTCGCGTCATATACTCCAACATGCTCCAACATGTTTCTACTATAGTTCCTACTCACTTTAACAAGCGCATTTGAGTAAGTAGGAGCTACAGTTGGAGGAAGTAGGAGCATGTTGGAGCATGCGACGCGAACAAACTTCGTAAGTGGAAGCCTGAGTGAGCACTCATTGCTATTGATGTATTGTTCTAGATCTATAACACTGATTGGATGATCTAAAAGAATACTTTAAAAGAATACTCTAAAAGAATAGTTCTCATCAGCCGCAAAATACATAAATACCCAAATATCTAATTATATAATATTAATATATTATATATAAGGATTATCTCGCGTTCGAGTTACAATAGATAATATAACAGATTCACTACATCGTTTATTAATTATCAAGTTTGATAATATATGGTAGCGATATATCGTCTTTTGTAACACGAAGGTGAGATGATTCTTAAAAATCTGTTATATTATCTATTGTAACTCGAACGTGGGATGATCCTCATAATATGTTAATATAATTAGATATTTGGGTATTTATATATTTTACGGCTGATGAGGATTAAGTATAGTCGAAATGTACCGTTGAAACTTATCGTCGGAAAATTATGTGAATAATGTATTGACCTGGGTTTTACTATTTATTAATTTGTTAATAAGTTATACGAATGAAAAGAATTGATATTATTTATATTGTAATAAAGAATTTAAATGTTCAAAAATAAACAAAGCATTAAGAAAAAAATAATCAGCTAAAAGATGACGCATATGAACACCTCATGCGTTTGTAATTTAAAGAGCTTTATTTATTACAAATTGCCTATCGTTATCTACACTTGAATGAGGAAAATTATTACTGCTATGTCAATACGAAACACACATATACATACACAGTTAAGATACATGAATATTTAGATATGTATGACGTACACTTGTAATTGATATACAACGTTGAATGTATTTTATATACTAATTTATGATCCTGAATGTATAATGTATGTAACGTAGCATTTGCTGATCTTTTACGATTCTTGTTTCCTTTCATAAATTAAAAGCATGCGTCCCCATTCGTTGCCCGCAGTAACAGTGACTCTTTGAAAGTCGCACAGTCTCCTCAAAATATCTTCTATGTGCTTCACCGGATTCCTGGTGTATTTCAGTTCCTTCAGCAGCGGAAAGTCTTCCAATTTCGCTCTTCGCAGTCGTCTCGAAGCGTTTTTGTAACATCTCCAAGGCTGCGGCTCAACAATGATCATTTCCGCCAGCTCGCAGACCTTTCGCAGAAACTCCTCCAGGCCGTCGTCGCCGTGATTCAGGTGAATCCACATAGTGATCGAGAAGCAGAACACCACGTCGAATCGCGTTTTATTAAGCTGCATCAGATACCGCCTCAGCATCTCGCCGCAATCCTCAGACAAAAAGTCCAGACACTCGAAGGTCACGCGATCCGGGCGCGAATTACGCTCGCGCGCTTTCTCGATCAGGATCGGGTCGAGATCCACGCCGATTAAGGAAATCTCAGGCTGATCTCGCGACATAGTCTCCTCGAGGAAGTCTCGTAGAATGTATGTGAGATCCTGTAAAACACGTCGTACAACTAAGCGAAAACTTAAATGTAAATATATGAGATTTACATGTGCGTATATCCTTTTAACTACAGAAACAAAACCTTGGATGAAAAAAGTTTATTTTACATTTTCGATATATATAATTCATTATAAAAATGAAATTCAAATATATTTTTTAGAGCAGAATTTAATCTAAAATTATTTTTATCTAATAAAAACTCAAAACATGTCGTTATTGATACATATTTTTATTAAATAAGTTTAAAAATAAATTTAAAAAATTTAAATAAATTGAAACACATACACACATACACACACACAGAGACTGTCAATATCTAAACATCGCACCAAAGAATTTTAAATTAATTATTGAAGTTATTATTTAGTATTTTGTATTGGCATATCAGTAATAAGTATGGAGATAAACATTCAATCTACATCTTCTAATTTACATTTAAAATATTAGAAATAGAATAATGAAATTAAGCACAACGTCGTGTTTTCTTAATAAGAGTTCCGCTTCAAATTATCCAAGCAATCTCCAACTAAGAGGAAACACGACAGTTACGAAGCATATAATGAAGAAAACGAGAAATTAGCTTCAATAAAGATAAATGAGGAAAAGAGAGAAAAAGAGAAAATGAACAGGAAATTTCTAACAAGGACAAAGGATACAGATTCCGGAAGCGGATGCCCGCTGCGAGAACGAAAAGCTGAAAGGGGATAACTTAACCAAAATTAGACGCGCCCGTTTGTAGTTTCGGATCACGAAGGCCGAATCATCCCGTTTCGGCCTGGCCTGGCCTGGCCTGGCCCATACGTCCCCCAACAGCTGCTGTGCCGCTGCTCTTACCCCGGCGTTACAGCCGACGTCTAGACCCGCGTATTTCCGGGCCGGATGAGCGACCCGTTGCCGCTGCCACACGCCACGCGGAAGTTGCCGCACGCGCCCTTCCGCAGGATGGAATTGGTAATAATTCATGAAGTTCCCGTGCCTGATAGCGCCCGGATCCGTTTTCTCTTCTCCGTCACTCTTCTCGACAACGTCGCTGTCGCTCATTTTATTTTTTATTTTTTTGGAAAAATCTGAAACGCACAAGAAATATGAATGTTATTACGTGTATACGTATGTATACAATGAGAAAAAATATACCAAATTTTAATAACTATTTGTTAAATAGTATTAATTTAACATTTACAGTAAATAAATATTTATTAAATAAAAAAATGACTGTTTATATTTAGTAAATATTAAACTAATATTACTCAAACTATATAGATATAAAAGATTAGTAGATTTAAAACAAAAAACATTATACATAAACAACAACAAAAATAAATATGTTATTGAATAAAGATCTCAATATAATGCATATGTATATATACATGTATAATAAATCACGAAATTGATCAACTCGTATCATTGCATTGTTACGAATTTCTTTTAAAATTCCAGAATAAAGTAATCAAAATAAAAATAGTAAGCTTACAAGTGTGTTTTTTAAATTATATGATGATTGATGTGTTGAAAGGCTGTCTGAAGGTTAATTGTCTTTCTCGAATCAATAGATAATTGTCGTGTAATACATTTCATAAATTTCGTGAGTCACGGATCAAATATAAATACATACAATGTAAATACATATATAAAGAAACATATATAACACTCTTTAAATTCTTTGGTATGAAATCTTACTTTAAAGAGAGAAAATTGAGTTAATATTGAAAAATTAGCTTACTTTTTAATCTTTCCATCTCTTTGCCACTTATCAGTGTCGTCATTGTGTTGTCATCGTATAAATACTATTGCTATATTACACGCAACATTGTAAATTATTTCCTGTCATACAGCAAATTGAGAAATGGAACTGAATTGAGCAATCCATTTCATATGATATAAACACTCAGTTTTCGAAATCGTAATTTGCCTTAAAACGTTGAGTTTCCCGCTATTCATACATACAAAAATAAAGTTACTTTCAGCGTAAGCATTACAAGAGTGAGATTTCATTCTTCAGAGTGCGATTCATTCTAAAAGAAAAACTACATATATAAAAAAACATATTAATATATATACACATATATAATATATTATTGTTAAAAAAGAAATAATTCTTATGCTGAAGGTAACTTTATTTTTGTACGTATAAAATAACTGGAACCTCAACATTTTAAAACAAATTACGATTTCGAAAACTGGATATTTAATTTTATGAAATAAATTACTTAATTCAGTTTAATTTCTCAATTCGGTGTATGACAGGAAATAATATATAATGTTGCATATAATATAACAATAGTATTTTTACGATGGTGACAACACAATGACGGCACTAATGAGTGGTAAATAGATGGAAGAGAGAGAGAGATAGAGAAAGAGAGACACACACACAGAGAGAGAGAGAGAGAGAGAGAGAGAGAGAGAGAGAGAATACGGCATAGAAAAGGTCAGGGGAACCTATCAAAAGCGGAAGAACCAAACAGTTAATTATTAATGTCCGCGACCCAAATAATCGTAACCTTCGATCGTCAAACAGTGAAGCGTAAAGAATTATTCATTTTTTCCGCAATAAATAATCCGGCTATCACTGGTGATTAAAAAGCAATGAAAAAAACCATTATTGTCAATTAATTGTAGAAATATTGAAGAAATTCTTGAAATTATACGAGATATCGAAAGATATTTTTATAGAATCGAGTGCTTATAAATATTCATTATCAAAAGTAATTAAAGAACTTTGATGAGAGAAGTTTTTCTTTAGAAATAAGCATTCTATAGAAGTAATTAAAAATTTGACAGCTATTAGATAGATGTGGATAATTAAAATCCTTTTTGCACCGAGATAAGTTTATATGCCAAGGTTGATAAAATACTTCAGTCTTTAGTTATAATACATGAAATAAATTATGGAGAATATTTTGTTACTCTTTTCTTCAAATTAGGTAAACAGACTAATTTTTCTTACTTAAAAAAATCTACTTAGAAAAATAGTTTAATTATACTAAATTCATAGCTTTCACGATTTTATTGTTATCTTCGTTTATCCTTGAGCTTGTTTGTATCTTTTACAATACTCAAAGAAAATAAAAATTTGTCCAGACTTGTTTGGAAAAATCATTTAGATATTAAAAAAAAATGGTTGTGCGAAATTAAAGATATATCAGCTGCATAGTTTCTGTAAAAAATGAAATTAACAATTTATATTTTCTATATAAAAATGAATATTACATACAAATATAACATAGTTCAATAAACCCAGTATTTATATTTAACAATATAATTTTATAATTTAAATAAAAATTTTCTCATTTTATCGTAAGTATTTTTTAAAAGACATGATTAAAAAAAATAATCAAACATTGCTTGAAATAAGTTTGGATTCAGGTTCTAAATCAAACGCCGTCAATCAAACTTTTTGTATTATTTCCAAATACAATATGGAATATCTGTAATTCTTTCTTTTTGTATTATTTTCAAATAGAATATGAAATATCTGTGTAATTCTTTTATTTTGTTGAAAAATACGTCTTTGCTGACAGCACAATCAATTCAACCGAAGGTTCAGTGAACAATGAATATCCGGTGCACAGCGAGCGGTCCTTCGATTTCTTGTTGCATTCTCATTGCCAAATCCTTTTGCGGCGTATACGGCGTGCACTGATTACCAAATCCGGCTCGAGATTGTGAAGGCAGGGTAAATGCGAGCGATGTTTTACACGCTCGTAATCGCGTACCGATCGTTATATCTAATTGCCTCATGCTCGCAGTTCCGACAAAATTTTTCTCGGATCGAAAAAGCAATTGGAGCCCCTCGTGTTTTCAATACCGTGAGAACTTCGCGGTAGAGGCGACGCCCTCGTTGCTCCATGCGACACTCCCCGAGTAACGAAGAAATTGCACGCTCTTGCGTAACTGTTCTGTCGACGTTAGTCGTAATCGTCACATTTATATGCCGAGGAAAGGATATAACGTTTTGCCTAATTAGCACGCTCGATTACGGTACGATGGTAATTAGCCGAGTAATTCCGGACTTGTACAGCGATTTAACGCGGGATTTCTTGCGCGCGGGATAATGAGCGTCCCTATCGTCGATTGCAACAAATATCGTGACCTGCCTGTATGCATCTGCGCGCAAATTGCATCAGTGACATTGGCGTTAATATGGCCTCATTTGTGTCGCAGACGTGTGCAAGTTAGTTGGAAAACGATACCTTAGAAAAAAACGCCTCTCCAACGCCTCTCTTACTTGTTGCAAATTGAAGTGTCAATTGTTATCGTCATTATGCTAAAAATTACAGAAAGAAAACGAAAGAATGTGACGAGACTAATTTACATGTCTTTTTAAAAAATATATACGAAGTATACGAAAATAAATATCTTATAAATAACACAAAATTGATAAAAATAACGTTCAATATTACGTATTCGTGTAAAAAATATATTCCCAGAATGGTAATAAAAAATTTTATGATGGATATACAAAATAAATTTGCTAATGCTGAGCACATACGCGAGATGAATACTAATTGCTTTGTTGCGGTCTTTCGAAACGTAGAACATTTTGGTAAATCGTCCCACGGCACAGGACAATGAACTCATGTGTGTGTCATCATACGTGCCACATAAATGACGCGATCGCGATTAGTCATCTAATTTACATGGTCTTCGATTTCTCGAAAGGGAATGCCTAGAGGTATTCTGTTGTAACATTCTATCTTGGACAATGTGCGTAAACATCCTGAAACAATCCGTCTCACGAAAGAATAGTATAACGAGCCTAAATCTTCTTAACATGATTTTCGTGACGCTTCTACTGTCATCAATCTCCGAGACTTACCTATTCAAAATTCTCAAATTTCCAAAGGTACGGTCTATTTACAATCGTTTCGAAACAACCAAAGCGTAGAAAGTGGGCAGATGCACAATTCAGGTTTCCTTTTTTGACGAATAAAAATTCGAATCCCAAAAAGATTATATTCTAATAGGAATTTAACAATGCATGTAAATGACAAAGAGCTACTTATCCTCAATTTAATATCCTCGATTTGAAAACAGTATACAATAGTAGACAATTTGGGGTTCTAGATACTAAATATCACAAACGGAGATTTCTGTATGGAAAATACAAAACACAATCCAAACATCTGTGGATTACATGAAATTCCATATGCAAATTTGAGAAACAAAAATTTAAATTTGTGCGAATTTTAACAAATGTGGATAAAAATAAATAAAGATGCGAGAGATAGAAATAAATGAAAACTGAATAACACGGTAATGATGCACGTTAACATAAAGCTTCCAAAACCTATTAAATATAGATGTTTTAATGAACAAGTTTATTTGTAAAAGCTCTCGAGGAATGTGCTTCACAGTTTCATCTCAATAATAAAATGCACTTATATTTATTAATTAAACGAGTGTAATATTGTATATTATGGGCTTTCTATAATAAATTATAAGAAATTTATTGACCAATCATAGTTGCATATGAGAAGAATAATCAACTATGATTGGTCAATTTCTTACGGTTTAAGACTTAGGTAATGGCTTATTGCAGAAAGTTCTCTTGTGATAGTCCTCTTGCATCTTTAATATATATATATATATATATACATATACAAAAATCAATATGACATTTATAACCCACTCCAATCCACGGTGTTGGTATTCCACATGCCAAAAAATTACAGTCTTCGCCCATTACAGTTTGTCGATAGTTAACATATTCTTTGACAAAGTCGAAGCTACGTGCACCTTTGGTAAGAAGAAAAAGGGTCAGAAAAAGGATAAAGCATGGCGCCTGATCGAACGACGGAAACCGGTCAATGGTACAGGGGAGGAGACAGCTGCAAGGACTTTTTTGCTCTACGATCTTTCCTTTCTCGCATTAAAATCGTGCCAGGGCAATGTCTGTTTCTTCAGAGCAGGTAAAATATATCCCGGAAGTCGGCCGTAAAGCAATCTGTTCCGTGTGCATCCGGCGCATTCATTCGGCCGCTTTTTCCAAGCCCATTCACAGTAAATCCGCTTTTTCCGGATTTTCGTGTTCTACGTCGTATAATGCGTGACAAACAGATCGACG